GCTATGTGGAGGGTGGAATTGAAGGAGGCAGGAGCAAGGAGCCTAAGAGAAATGATGGTAATTGAGGTAGTAGGTGCTGTGGCCACTAAGGATCTTTTAATTTCGGATCTAAGCTGGAGGGAAGTAGGAGCTATGAATGGGGGTGTTCTTGGGGTGACCCTGCTGAGATGGGGTCCCTGATGCTCTTGCCCCAGGGTTGGAGATGGGGTGCATCTGAGGCCAGGATGACCAGGCACCAGCATCTGCCCCTGGAATCCTGGGCTGCACAAGACAGTGCACAGGGAGATGGGGAGGAAAAGTTAGAATTTCTTTTTCTCTTTCTTTCTACTAAGTAAAAGGATGTAACCTTATTAGTATACAGATTAAAAGTAAGTCACATACATCATGTAAACGTTTTATCAGAATATTGGTAGTATGTGCTAAAAATAAATTTATCTCTTTCCTGAGAACTACATGATCAAAAGCATTTGGTGACTGCTGGCTGGAGCCCTGATGGGCGGGCACTGCAGCCTCTGTGTGGAAAGCGTTGCCAATGTCTCTGAGTGTTCTCAGAAAGGAGCTCCTCTGTTTGCCGTCAGTTTTAAAGGCAGTGAATCAGAGTTCTTCTAAGATTCACCTTTGTGTTACGTCTACCCATTTTTTTACAACTGAAAAGCTTTGGATAAATATTTCAGATGTGCAGCAGAGGAGTGCAGCCTTATGTGACATTTGGTTCAGGTTAAGGTCAGTCTGTGGCATCGTAATTGAGTGAGACAGTTTTGTCAGTGGCTACTGGCAGCTTCTAGTGGAAGTTGGCATTGAAAGTCAGCAAGTGTAAAATCAGAGGTTGCTCTCTAGTTAAGAGTGGCTGGCTAGGTAAATGGAGTGTGTGCATGTGGCCAGGAGGGGCCCGCACCGCTGCCTACCGCATTAGTCCCTAATGGACGTGCGCGGCCTCAGTGGGCACAAGGATGAGGGGAAGGAACAGCTTTCCTCCGAGCATGATGTGAGTGGCTCCTTAGCGTCCTGCTCTCAGGGGACTGTGTCTGGAGGAAGAGGTCATTCCCATTTCTTATCGATGGAGAGAACACTGACTGTATGTGGATAGACCCCAGGCTAGAGATCATGCACAGACAACTTCAGCCCCACAGCTCAGGAGGAGGCGGCCTGAGGCCCTGGGAACCAGCTGTCCCCAAGAGCTGAGGCTGTTCCCCTTGCCCCCATCTACAAAAAACAGTGTTCTCTGGAGCCCTCAGTTCAGGACAGCCAAGGAGAGAAAGGAAGGGCAGGTGATCCTGTGATGTGGCTTTGAAACCTCCTCCTGTATTCTGCAGGCTCAGCCGGACCTAGTTGAGTGTGGGGTGGGTGATAAAATCTGCAGCGCCTTTGAGAGAAGAAAGTGTAGCAGTGTTCAGAAGCTGCCTGTGCTGCCTCTGAAGGGCTGGCATGGACTCTGCTTGGTGTTTGGGAATGGTTTAAACACTGTAAACTGTCGCTTTTGTTGGTCCCTCAGACAGTGATAGATCCTGTGTGCTGTGGCTCTCAAGTGCGAAGACTGGCTGGGTCTAGATTCAGCTTTGCACCAAGAAGTGACCCTCTAATCCTTGTTGCGGTTACTGGTAGGGAAAGACATCTATTAGCCATGCTGTGTTCTTTTTTCCCCCAAAGAATTTGCTTTTATAATCTTAATCCTGAAAAAAGATTCTGGGACCAAAAATTTGAAGACACTGTGATAACTTTATAACTGAGCAATGTAATTCTTTTGTTTTAGAGCAGTGATTTTCAACCTTTTTTACCTAATGGCACACATAAAAGAATTACTAAAATTCTGTGGCACTCCAAAAAAAAAAAAAATATAT